TTCCCAAGGTTCTGGAAGTCATGGTGAGGCTAGAAGCCCTACCCATGTTCCATTTGCATTGGACCAGGAGTCTAGACTGGAGGGAAGAGCTCGGGACGGGCCTGGGCTGGAAACTCTCTCTAGTTACTGGCAGTGTGCTTGTGTGCATGGTTACACAGGTACAGGAGGGGCCACATGTTTCAATCAATGTGTAATATGTATTTTGCTACCGCTGAGTGTCTCCCTGCTGTGGCAGTATCTGGAAGATGGTGTACATTGTATTATTGAACGAGGTGGACATGCTCAGAGCAAGTCAGTAGAAGCTTAGCTGAGATAAAGAAATAGCGTGTGATTATTTATTCATTCATCTCTTAATTCGTTTATTCAGCAAATATTGAGTAGCTGCTGTACTAGACATCAGCATTATAGTAGGGAAAACAAGCAGACAGTGTCTTTACCCTTGTGAAGTCTACATCGAACAGGGGAAGATTGGCATTAATTAAATTGTTTAAATAAATATACAAGATATTTACATAATTGTGTGTTGTGAGGTCAATAAAGGAAATAAAGGGGAGATCCCTCCATCAAAGAAGGCCTCTTGGATGATACCACACTTAAATTAAGACATCACCATGTGCATTAGTCAGCCAGTGTCAAAGACAAGGAAGTATACTAGGCAGACGAAACAGTAAATACAAAGGCCCAAGGACAACAAAAGGGTTGGCATGTTTGGGCAACAGAAAGGAGAGAAAGCAAGGCCACGGGTAGTATAACACGACATTGGACAATTTAGGTGGGGACCAGAGGATGTAGGACATGGCCACCATTGTTTTAAACCTGACTGCTGAAATGCTTAGAAATGACAGTGGCCTGGACTAGAGTCAGCACAATGAGAACAAGAGGGCTGGAAGGGTTTAAGATATATCTTAGAGGTAAGAGTGACAGAACTTAATGATGGATTGAATGTCAGGAATGAGGAAAAGAAAAACAAGGATGACGCCTAATTTAAGTAACTGGATTAGATGCCATTTTCTGAGGCTTAAAAATTAAATAACTTGCCAGATCTCATTCAGTTGGGACATTGACATCTGGTTTGTGTGAATTCACTTTTTTTATTGCTTTAATCTGTGTAGTGAGGCTACTAGGTTAAACTTCCAAGATATCTTCCAGATTTGCCACTTTGTTCTCATCTAGATTAAATTGTTAATGTAGAACCATCCTGAGGTATAAAGTAATATTGTCAGAACCTGGTATTTGATAAATAGCGCTATAGTGGAATAAATCTTTTATATCAAAACTTGTAGCCAAAATCTGGGAGGTGTTTTTTTTCTCATGCAAACAAAATAAATGATGATTTTGTCCATTTTCTCTTAGATGCAGGGTTTTTTGGGAGTCTTTCAGCCACAAAGCAGTTTGTTCTCCAAAGTAAGATTACATTATAAATTGTCTCTTGTAATCCCAAACTAAGACTGCAAAACCCAAAAGATAAATTGCATACAGGGAACCAGTTTTTTAAGTATTGTTCTTTAATTGTTATTTATTTATTTTTGAGAGAGAGAGAGACATACAGAGACAGTGAGCAAGAGAGGGGCAGAGAGAGGGAAACACAGAATCTGAAGCAGGCTCCAGGCTCTGGGCTGTCAGCACGGAGCCCGATGCAAGGCTCAAACTCTCGAGCCGTTAGATATGACCTGAGCCCAAGTCGGCTGCTTATCGATTGAGCCACCCAGGTGCCCCAGGCAAGCAGATTATTTAGATTCTGCATGGGCCTCCACCCAGGATACAGGCAGGTTTCTCCAGAGAGGGAATGGGTGGCATTTCAGTGATCTGAAAAACAGCATGCAGCTCTAATTACACCATGTGGGGCTCACCCATTTTGGCCAGGTCTAAGATTCTATTGCTAACATTGGCAGTCCCCACTGTCTCAAAGCAGTAAATTTCTGAAATCCACATCATGAGATAGATCTTTAACCCACAGAAACAATGGAATTGTGTTCTTGACAAAGGAATTGGCAGGCCATGAATCTTAAGTATAACCAACAACATGTGAGTAAAAAAAACCAGCCACTCTGAGTCTGTCCATAGACTCCCTTATTGGACTATAAACCCCTGAATCAGTTAGGATGCTATGAGGAACAAAAGAATCCAACTTAAAAAGCCACAAGCAGGGGCACCTGGGTGGCTCAGTCAGTTAAGCGTCCGACTTCAGGTCATGATCTCACAGTTTGTGGGTTCAAGCCCCGCGTCAGGCTCTGTGCTGGAGCCTGTTTCAGATTCTGTATCTCCCTCTGTCTCTGACCCTCCCCTGCTCACGCTGTCTCTCTCTCTCTCTCTCAGAAATAAATAAAACATTAAAAGAAAATTTTTTAAAAAGCCACAAGCAGTAAAGATATTTAATGTCTCATAGGACAAGTTGGTTTCAGGCTGGGTCAACAGTTCTGTGATGTCTTAGGAACTCAGGCTCTTTACCTCTCTGCTCTACCCTCCTCAGCAGAGGGCCTTGACCCTGAGGCTGAAGATGGCTGCCACAGTTCTGGGAAACCCATGAGCCAACACAGGACCAAAAAAGCGGATCATTTTCTTTGTTGTATCTCTGTTAAAGAGAAAGCCTTTCCCAGAAGCCCCAAGCAGACCTCTCCTTAGATGTTTATCCGTGGAGCACCCAGTTCCCCCCATGCAGATACTAGGACATTATCCTAGACTTTTCCCCCTCTCCTTTATTTCTCTCACTCTCTATAACCTCTCTATTCAGGTTTTAAATAATTTGTCTCCTACCCTCTATCTACATTAATTCAGATGCTCATTATCTCTGTCTTTCTCCCCAGATCCAGTTTATCTTCCATACTGCCACTGAAATGATCTTTTAGAACACATATCTCATCATGACACTATCCTGCTTAAAATCCTTCTGTGATTCTTAATCACATGTATGATTAAATTTCTATTTTTTTTTCTAGCTATAGGAATGACCTCTCCCTTCCTTTTTTATTAAAAAAAGACTTACCTGGCAGCTCAGTACAGCTGGTAGATGGGTGTAGAGCTGCTGTGCTGAAATGGGGTGGGGAAAGGGCCTCTAGACAGGTGGATCCCTCCACTTCCCTCACAGGGAGGCCCAAAGCCCTTCCCTGGAACCCCGGCAGTAACAGCAAATGGAAACACCTACAAGCCAATTGATACGGACCTCAGGAGTGTCAACCAGGCTAGTGGCACAGGCTTAGATGGTAGTGGAGGCCAAGGTCAAGAACATGGTCTCTCAGAGTATGCAGAGTAAGGAGGGAAGAGGGACAAAGAGAATGCACTGCCCCCAAGTCATGCAATATCCAAGGAAGTAATGTTTCTTTTTTTTTTTAATTTATTTATTTATTTTGAGAAAATGGGGAGGGGCAAAGACAGAATCCCAAGCAGGCTCTGCACTGTCAGCATAGAGCCTGATACAGGGCTCGTTCTCACAAACTGTGGGATCATGACCCAGGCACCCCTAGAGTAATGTTTCTGTTTCGCCTTTCATACTTTAAGAATCTGCCTTATATTCTCTGATCGTGTTAGACAAGTTAACCCAATCAGATTTTTGAGGAGAAAGTGAGGGTGGTTGAAGACAAAAAGGCAGATAATATAAAAAACTGAGAATATTAATTTTAATTGATGGATTATTTTTGTGTTTACATTTTCACTTTTATAATGTTTTTTAAAGTAATAGATTTGTAATTTGCCTGGATAATCCCTAAGATTAATCTTTTTTCTTTACACAAAGTTTTTCTTATCAGAAATCCTGAGTTAACCAATATTTCATGTACTTCCATTTTTGATCAAGGCAGTTTTCAGTTAAATAGGCTTAGGAATGGAATTTCAAACTGAACTATAATACCTAAATATGCTAAATATTCAAATTATTCCCCCTGCTCTTGATATTGACCTGTATTTATTCTTTATGTCCATTTAAGAATTCAGTCTTGTTCCTTCTTCTGTAAAGATGAAAGAGCTGTTTAGATGCAGTTTATGTTCTGTTATAGAATATGACCTTCTACATGAGGAGGGAAATATTAATGAAGATATTGATGGATAATTTTAACAAGGAAAGGTGCTAACAGTTTAAAGCAACAGCTTAATGGGTTGTACATTTCAGCGGGTATTTGCATACTCAGTGACATTGTCAGAAGGGAGGGGGGAAAATGGAAAGAGCTGGGCAGAGGACAGCAGGCAGGAAATAAGGGCAATCTCCAAGTAGACTAGAACTGTCCCACTCTTATTTGCTCTTATCCATTCTCATTTCAAGAAGGGTTTGAGAAGAGCTTGTCCTTTTGTGTCTTGTATAGGTAAGCAGGTCGTCAGTCTTGCTTCCCTTCTGACTCTGACCACCCAACCCCCATCTCCCATTTACCTCGATCTCATCTCTATCATCACTGTAGGCATTTTTGCTTCTTTTTGCTTTATAGTCTGTCCCTATCACACCCTGGAGCTCACCTGTTTCTGGCTACCAGTCTTTGCCATCAGACTTTGTATAGGCAACCTTGTAGAGGCAGCTCCTTCATGGCTCTCCATGGCACCATATGCTCAGGCTCTTGGCATCTGTCATTTAATTCCTCTTCCAGCCCCTCTAGGTGAGGAGCCCACACAACCCCTCTCTCCCCACCTTCTGGGACTCCACAGACATTAGGCACCAATGAGAAGCAAAAAACTATGTATCAATTGTCTGAAGCTTCAAATTGATTTGGATTCTCTCCTAATCCTTTTAAATGTGATATGTGTTTAAATTAAGAGGAGCAGAAACAAAAATGATTTGGGAAAATGGTAATGTTATCCTAGCTTATTTCAGTAACGCTCTAACATGGTTAAGAAAATGGACTGTCAGATTTGATCAGTGTTGTTGAAGTGAACAGTCATCATTCTCAGAGTGTCTGGAGTTAAATTCTCACCCAGCAGGAGCAGTTTTAATGACTGAAGAATCCAGTAACATGGAGAAATAGCTGAATTTCAGTGCACTGCTGACCTTTCACGTTGCCCCTCTCTCTTCTGTTTTTCAGGAACAACGTGTTTGATTGCTCTACTATCAGATAAGGACCTCACCGTGGCCAATGTGGGTGACTCAAGAGGGGTCCTGTGTGACAAAGATGGGAACGCCATTCCTTTGTCTCATGATCACAAACCTTATCAACTGAAGGAGCGAAAGAGGATAAAGAGAGCCGGTGAGCTTGTGAATGCCTCCAAGGACTGTCTGCCATCCTGTTGGGTGAACAAGGTGGCTTGTTTGGACTGCCTGTGGGGAATGAGATGTTCAATCACCCAGTGATTAGTAGATGAACACAGAGGCTGGTGCTGAGGTAGCTGAGACTTAACTTTGTGAATTTCTTGTCAAATGACCATGGAACTTGCCTTTCTTCATGGCCAAAGATTCCAGAAGGGCCCCCCAAAAGCCCTTTACCTGTTTAAAGGCTAACAAGATCTTCGGGCACCTGCTTGCCATACCCTGTTTCCCTCTAGCCACCCCAAACCACTAACCATTCCCCAAATGAACCATGTTTCTGGTAGCTCTGTGCCTTTGCACGTGGCGTCCCCACCATCCATTGGATAACAATTACTTGTCCTTTAAGATTCAGTTTAAAGGTATCCTTTCAGAAGTCTTCCCTGTTGCTGCAACAAAGGCTCCCCCAGACTGGATTCGGTGCCCCTTCATCCTTCCCAACATCCTATGTGGATAACCTATCGGGTTACCTTTCACAACGTGTGGACATACTTGGCTCTCCTATCTGTCCTGCCTTCCTGATTGTGCTCTGAGGACAGGGACTTAGTCTTGTTCCTCTCTCTGCTCCCAGTACCTAGCTCAGTGAGTGCCTGGCACAAGTAAATATTCTGGGGTGGGGCCGGGGGTGTTCCTTTTTTATTCATTTCTTTCAATATCTAGAGGCTGGGATACAAACTTTGATTCTGGAATTGGGATGGGGTGGGTAACGGACTAGACAGACATTAACAATAAAATAAGTAAAAATAGATAAGTTATGTAGTATAGTACAAAGTGATAACCATTATGAAGAGACACAAGGCAGGTGAGGGAATGGGAGTGTCAGGGATGGTCACTATAGGCCTCATCATGGTGACATTAGGACAGAGACTTGAAGGAAGAAGATCAGTTGATGATTACATTTTCATAATTCACTTCGGAGGGATTCTTTTCTAACTGTGGAAGGGAGGAATCCCTCCGTCTGCAGACTGACAGGTGCAGCATGTAGGCTCTGCACGATATGCCAGGCAGCAGACCCAGCTGTTGGAGGGGAGCTCATGTACCCTGGGTCTCTAACCAGAATGGGCCCCTGCTGCCTAGGGTAATTGCAGTTGACTCTCAGTCTCTACAGGTCAGCTTCTGCCCAGAACCTAATCAACATTTGAGTTTTCACAGTAGGAAGCTGTACTGTTGAGTCAAAAAGTGTTGAATTTTATTACAACCTTCTGCTTCAGTTACTGCTGAGATGCAGAATAATTTTTAATGAAAGCTTTAGTCAGGTTTTTTGTTGGTAGAATGGAACAAACGATGTTTTAGGAGCATCTATCCAGCAGCAAGCAATATGAGCGAGATTGCTGGCTTCCTTACTTACAAAGACACCATTTCCCCGTGAGTCCACTGCGACCCTGGACTTAAGATACAGTTAGCCTATGCTTGTGTAAACACAGGCAAGGGTGTGTGCAATACACAGTACTGGGAAACATCATCATAGCATCCAGTGTGCCCCTCTGAAATGGCATTCCCATTTTATCCTTCCTCCTCGTCCCTGCCAGACCCACCACCTGCACCCCCACCCTGCAGGGATGTTTTATGGAAGCCAATTTGGACACAGTCTCCAAGGAAGTTAATCTAACTGGCTGTGTCAAGGGTGTATTTTATAGCAAGGCTTAAGGGACAGTGATTGGTTTTATTACCTTTATGTGTGTTTTCTCTGACCTCAGCCTTCCTTTCAGGATATCTTTCCCTATCCTGCTTAGCATAACAATACACTGCAACCAGTCTGGGCCAAATACACATTGGTCCTTCTGTCTTCATTCCTTTTATTGTTTCCAGCAACAGCAATGGTATCAGCTGCCATTTATTGTTTGTTCACACTGTGCTGGGAACCAAGCCTGGTTCTTTACATATGCTTCCTTTTTACTTATCTTATGAGGTTGATAATGGTATCCTCCTTTTACAACCAAGGAAGTGGAGCCTCAAAGAGGCATGTGTGCCCAAGGACACACGGCTAGTGAATGGTGAAACGAGAATTGAGACCCAGGACACGGACTCCGGAGCCCATGCTCTTGCCCACTAGACTGCACTTCCTGGAATGTTCTCATACATCCCTGCCTATAGAAGGGATGTCATTCAAAGCCCAACTTTATTGCTCACTCCTCCCTGACCATCACAAAGATACCATTGCGCCTTCTCCTCCTGACTATAGCATTTAGCAGGTACTAGTTTCTCCCTGAAAGAATCCTGCTTTTTTTAAAAATGTATTTAAATCCAAGTTAGTTGACATATAGTATAATAATGATTTCAGGAATAGAATTTAGTGATTCATCACTTATATATAACACCCAGTGCTCATCCCAACAAGTGCCCTCCTTAATGTCCATTGCCCATTCAGCCCACCCCCCACCCAACATGCTGCCAGGAACCCTCAGCTTGTCCTGTGTATTTAAGATTCTCTTATGGTTTGTCTCCCTCTCTGTTTTTGTTCTCTTCTCCTATGTTCATCTGTTTTGTTTCTTAAATTACACATATGAGTGAAATTGTGTGATTTTTGTCTTTCTTTGACTTATTTCGCTTAATGTAATACACTTTAGTTCCATCCACATTTTGCAGATGGCAAGATTTCAAGGAAATCTTTGCTTTGTGCTTACAGTTGTCAATACATGTGGCTTTTCTTTTCTGCTGGACTATCTACTTCTTTGGAGAAAAGTCTGGATCTTATATAACTTTATAGCCTGTAAATCGCCTTGCATGGAGTGTACATTTAATAAGTATTCAACATAATATTTGAATGAATAATGTTCTAGCTCCCTTCAAGAAAAACTAATGATAGATAATATTGAGTGCATGTTATATTCGGGCACTGTGCTAAGTGATTTATATGGAATAACTCCTTTATTTCTCACAACTCAGTGCAATAGGTACTATTATTGCCTGTGGTTTGTAGTCAGGGAAACCTAGAATCAGAGAGATAGGGCTTCTCCCCTGAAGTGACACATAGCTACAAGTGACAGAGCCAAGAATCAAATGTAAGCAGTGTGACCCAAGAGCCTGAGCCTTTAACCATTGTGCTAAAATACACCTTTCTTTAATTCTGATCCTGTCTGGGGAGTTCTTTTGAGCTCCAGATGTACCCAAGGGCGGCCTCAAGCTAAATGAAGTAGCTCAGTGTGGGTCTCTGGTTCCTGTTCTTATGCCTTTCAGCACTCTTTTGCCATTATCATTGAATCCCTACTCTGGTGCTCCCTACTGTCCATCAAGGTGTTGTTGAGTTAAAACCAATGCCCTTACCTATATGTATCTTCCTACCCTCAGTATTTGTATTTATATAGTTCTCAGAGCCTTTAAGATGCCAAAGATGAGGACATGAGGATCTACTGGTAGAGGTGAAACCTCGAGGCACGTGGTAGGAATACTCTCCTGGCAGTGCCCAGGGCAGCTGAGGGGGCACATGCAATAGATGAGCCTTTTGTACACTCACTCAGACTCTACCATGTGTGTGAGATAATGGCTGGTCAAGCTAATGGGCTCATTCTGTCTTTGCAGGTGGTTTTATCAGTTTCAATGGCTCCTGGAGGGTCCAGGGAATCCTGGCCATGTCTCGATCCCTGGGAGATTATCCGCTGAAAAATCTCAATGTGGTCATCCCAGACCCAGATATCCTGACCTTTGACCTGGACAAGCTCCAGCCTGAGTTCATGATCTTGGCATCAGATGGCCTCTGGGATGCTTTCAGCAATGAAGAAGCTGTTCGATTCATCAAGGAGCGCTTGGATGAACCTCATTTTGGAGCTAAGAGCATAGTTTTACAGTCTTTTTACAGAGGCTGCCCTGACAATATAACAGTCATGGTGGTGAAGTTCAGGAATAGCAGCAAAACAGAAGAGCAGTGAACCCTTCAGGGTCTCGGCTGCCTTAGACTAAAGGACTTTCAACACACTGGTCTCTTTTAATGTAGTGAAAGGCGTGGGAGTTACAGTTAGGATCATCCACCTAAACATGGGATTCCCCCTCCCTGGTGGCCATAGGTCTATATGCAGAAATGAACAGAGGGTGCTCTCGGCCACTATAGCCAAGAGGCTGGAAAATGGTTTTTCATGTTTTCCCAATTCTTTCATCCAATGTTCAAAATATATAAATATATAGCTGTAGATTCACATGTATGAAGTGAACGGCATATGTGCCATATATTCTCCCACTTGAGATTCTTTTCAAGATCTCTTACAGGGTTCTCCAGGCATCAGACTTTGTCCTCTCTTTGGAGCCGTGAACAGAGCAGGCCTCCAGAGCTGCAGGAGACAGTCTGCAGCGTCATCTGTGAGTGAAGGCTGATGTGTCAACACCCGTTGCTGAGAGGCAGAGCTATCTGAGAATGCTTTGTCCTCCTGAGCCCAGGTTTTTCTGCTCAGCAGCGGCCCAGACACAGATTTGGAATGGTTTATTATTCCGTGGCTGCTCTTGGAGACCGAGGGAAGTGGGGAGGATGAGACCCGCCTGCACAGCAGACATAACCTTTTCCCCTGACTTCCTTTATTAGTTAAATAGACTCTGTGTACCACCTGACCAGTCTTTGTGCGTTTATCCTAATTGTGCATGACCTTAACCTTTTGCTTCTACGTTACCTTATGTAATAGGCAGCTGTGAAACTTCACCACCAAACACCATGATTTTTTTGTCTTCCCAAGAAACCTGTTAGGGGAAATGAGTAACGCAAATCACAATACCATAATTCCTTCAGTCTTTAAGGGTAGAGGAAAATAATGGCCAAATAAGTCACAGTGCCTCTTGGGAAATCTGCTGTTTGCATTAGGAGAGAGAGCTGGTGAGGTCATCACCCTGAACTGAACCCCCAGTGGCCAGTTTTAGTGTGGGGCTTTTTTTTCTCTGCTATCCTGTTAGCTTTCATGTGGCTTTCAAGCAGTGTATGGAGAAGCAGTAGCCTAGAACTATGTGTGTGTTCCTTGAAGCCCAGGACACAGTTCCCAGTGTGGTTTGGCATTTGGTGATAAAATGCTGGCATGTGCTTCTCCTTGATAGCGGAAAGGCAGCAGCCGGTAACATTTGGCTGCGGATCACCATCCCCACCAGTTACCTTTCCCCAAAGAAACACAATCCGCCCCACACCTCCCCGCCCTGTGTTTCGTGGCAACCCAGCTGGCTGGGAGTTCAAGCTCAAACCTGTATTGTTAAGTGACTCAGAGTTATTTCTGGGCAAAGCTTGCTGCTCTTCATTTCTTGTCACCAAAGTCATGTTTCCAATCTCAGTATTGTATACATTAATTGACAGAAAATGCTGGGTCATCCTGTTTGCCTGGCTGATGTGGTTCAAACAACCAAACAAGATTTTTGTTGTGTCTCTGCCTCTCTGTGTCTGAAATGTCAAGGTGTCCACCTGGTTTTGTCCTTCTCAAGTGGGCACTTGTCGTTAGAGCTTCTCAAAGGCCCCACTATGTGGCTCCAGGGGAGGACATGGGAAGATGAAAAGATTCCCTTGTGACTGCCAAGCACTGCACCCTGTCTTGATTCCTTCAAGCACTTACCTTTCTTTGACTGCAATGAGAATTAATAATGGTTTCCCAAGAGATGTGGCTCACTTTGGTAAATTGTAACAAATTTACATTTGGTAAATTGTAAGAATTTCCAACATTAGAATGAGAACTCTGTTTTTTTAACTATAGAATATTATAGTGTGAAATATCTGCCACCATTTTAGATTGAACTATTTGCGTACTGAGCGACAGTGAGCATTTGGATGTGTGTATTTGGGCAGGGGTCAGGAGAGGAATGTCGGAGTCATGCTGGTTGTGCTCAGTGATGGGACGGTCAAGCCAGGTGGCCCGAGATTGCTTGGAGATCTAGGATAGTCTGACTCTGGAGTTACCAAAGCCCACCAGGAATAAGCAGTTTCAACATGTTATGCTACACAGTCCTTTTTTCCTTTTTTAACTTTTAACTTAACCCTAAAATTCGTAATAACAAGAGAAAGAAATTGTTAAATTCCATGATCATTGTTATTATCTAAAACGAAAATAGGAATGTTTTGATGAATATAAAAAAGCAAAGCCACAGTAAAGTCATGTTTGTCTACCTAGCACAGTGTCTTCCTAGGTGGTACCCAGTGCATGCTTTCCCCTCCAGCTGAGGTTCACAAGGTGGCTTCTGAATTTTGCTTTGTAGAATTAATTCCTTTCTGAATTTAACCACGTAGTGTGTGTATTTCCTACTCCCTTTCTGCCTCTTTTCCTCCCACTTTGACTTGTAGATTTTTCAAAGATAGATATTTTAGGCAAAATAGTAGCAGTTTGATTAATAGCTTTGTCTAAAACTAGAGTACTTTGCTTCTTCCCCTGTCCTGGAGCTCTCTCCACCCCTCCATCCAGCTGTTTGGGGTCTGCAGACATCACCCCTGGGGTGCCCTGTGGCTCATTTTCTAGGGACAAGGGAAGTTGAATCTAGCCTTTTGGGAAATTGATTTGAGAAGTTTGCATGTGAAACTTCCCTAAAACAGCACTGCCAAAGCTTTGAAATTGTCACACGAGGCTGCCCAGACTCCCCAACCCGAGTTCGCATTGCCAATAGCCCCATGGTGCCAAATTTTGGGATGATTTTGCGGTCTTTTAGAAATGAAGTTGGGAATGAATGACCACATACTATGAGCCCCCAGCAAGATGCCAAGCCCAGATCCTCATCAGTGCACCGTTCCACTGCTGCTCCACTGGCAGTTTGTACTCTTAACATGGGTTGGGGTTGGGGGCAGGGGTAGGACAAGATAGGAAAACTTTTTTAAAAATTCATTGTATTTGCAATTCTTTAATCAAAGGAATAAACAATACTTACATAAAAAAACTCCAAAGCTAGTTCCTAAGACCTGCATTCATTTTATGTGACCAACTTGTCCAAGGCACTTAACTCTGAAGTCATTCTTCTAATACAACATGACTGTGCACAGATGTAGTCATTACTGGTAACCAGTGGCTACATTCTGTTCCTTGCTGTAGATAAAAGGTATTGACCTCTTGAATCTTGTCTATGTAAGAAGGGTATTACAAAGAGTGTTTTATAGAGTAAAGGAGCATATGCAATCTGGATAATTTAAAACAGGGCTTATTTCATACAACTGTAATGATTTCAACCCACATACATTTTGTGCAAACGGGATTGCGTTAGAGTGATGGCATCATCATTTCAATCCTATCTGAAGTAATTCCAGGAAACTAACTGATCATGTTATTGAATTGGATCACTGGGCTATCCGGCAACACATGAGAGATACACAAGGGAGTGATCACTTTTCCTTGGCCAGGTATACCTTGATTTTCTGGATTTTTTTCCCCTTGAGTTATTGCCAGATCTAATCCTCTTACAACTGTGTCAATGAAGAAGGTTTAGAAGGTGCAGCATTTCATAGTGCGTTTGGAAGTGTAAGAACACATGCTGTGGATAAAGCTTTATTCTTTAATGATTTCAGAAAATGTTTTTTTCCTTTGACCCATCATCATGACTGATCCTCCCTTAATATTCTCCCCAGATTGCCTTAGCTTGGCATACCAGCATTCCTGAACCAGCTCTGCACAAATGACATGACTGTTAGATACACACTGGGGCCTATTTAATTGCCTCTAGATTAAATCATTGGTATCTAGACTTTTGAGCTACTATTAGCTGAACATTGCAGGAGTAATAAAATCCAGTGTTCCCCAAAGTGTGTTCTATAGAACATAAGTTTCAAAGATGCTCTTCCAAATATAAGGTTCCATAGTCAAATGAGTTTGGGAAACATACTGTCTTATCATACTAAGAAGGTTTTAATTTCAATGTCCTATGGCGGGGGTGAGGAGGTGTGGGATACACCACAAATGTAATTTAAGTTAGCTCAGTGTTTTTCAGATTAATTTGAACAGAGAAACTGTTCTAGTGTTACTAGTAACACCTAGTAACATTCCAAGGAGCTTGTGTTCTTTAGGACCCACATTGGGAAATTCTGGTATATGGAAATATTACTGTTTTCTCATTCACCATGACTCTTAGTAGTAGCAGTAATGTTCACAATTTTGAAACACTACTCCTTTTCACAGGAGGCTGATTTGTCAGTAAAAGCAGTGTTAAGAAGCTGTATGACTTAATAAGCCCCTCAGCAGCCTCCCTGGATGACAGAAGTCCAGCAGTCCTACCTGAACCTCTAAACTTCTCTCTTCTTTTATGTGGATAATAAGCAGGAGCCTTGCCATAGTAGGGATTTCTTGGATTCATTCCAGGGGCTTTCCTTCTGTTTTTGAAGTTACCTCTTGGCTTTCCAGATGGAATCAAAATAAATATATTTATATTTCATCACTATGTGAGAGTTTAAATATATATATTTAAAATAATAGAAAAGGGGAAAAAGACATTTGGTTTTAATTTTAAATTTTGAACTCGATTTTTAAAATTACGCATCAATTGTGTAATAATGGAAATGTAAACTATTAACACTTCTTTACTCTCTTTCCTCTGTCATTTTTTCCAGATGCAACAAAATAATCTGAAATCAAAGCTCATTCATTCTAAAATCACTGTCCCATATTTTCCCACCTTTCACATTTTATGTACATGATAGTTTGGTGAGTTATCTCTTGCATAAAATGTAGGGCTTGACTATATAGCTCCATAGTCCTCGCTCAGCCTGGGCAGTGCTGGGAAGCTCTGAGAGGCAATTCCAGAATAATGGATGAAACTAATTTAGTCCAAAATGTGGTACACAGGGAATTTAGGGTAACTTCATTAACTCAGAATTACCTCTACTGTTTAGGAATATACCCACCCTGTGGACATTATCCAAACTAGTAAAAAACTGAAAGTGAAATTGCTGAGGCTAGGTGGCAGATGGCGGAGGGCAAGTGACAGTGGACACTATACAGCTTCCGTCAGATTTGTGCTTCTGAACGTTTTTAATATGTAAATTTTTTTTGCTAATTTGTAACATTGATACTTTGTCCATTATTTTTTTTTTAACCACTGTTAAGCTACAGATTGTTTAACTGAGGGATTATTATGCTAATTTTGATGTGCTTAATAATGACCACACCAGCATCCATATAAGCACTTTACTAAATCCAAGCTAAGGACTTTGTAGAGAGTATGTAGTAGCTGTGCATTTTAACAAATCATCATAGGCATTTTCACAGTTCAAAGTCTGCCAGCAAACAGCAAAGATGTAGATTATATTTAGAGATATGGTTCCATTTATTCTAGAAGTCCTATAATGTGGTACTATTTAATACCAGATAACTACAAAATCACCCCTGACATTTGCCAAATCTGAATTAATCTCAAAGCCTCCAAGCATGTGAGTCTTTGGTCTGAGCACCAGCAGACTGCTGTGACGGGTCTGGTGGCAGATTGTAATGGGTGAGCATTGAGGGCAAGGTCATGTGCCTGGGTCACTTGTTACCTCTGTAGGGGAGGGAGCGTGTATCAGCCACACTCTCCCATCACCTTTTGTCATGAGGAAATTCAGAAGTTAAAAATGATATCATGCATTATCTCAGCATGCTTCTGTATAAATCTGGCAATGCATAATTTAACAC